AACAACTATTTTTGGAGTTTTTGCCCTCTGGATGCTAAACCGTTGACCTGAGGTCAATTTTGATTAAACCTTATCAAAAGAAGAGTTCAAAAGCTATCGATTGCTTTTCCATGCGTTTTTCTAGCTACCTATAGTTCCTGAGATAACGGCATGTTTTCTGAAAAATATAATGACAATTGGCAAATGTTGACCTTTGATGACCTCTGGTGAGCCCAATATTGCTCTAAGATGAAAAATTACCGAAATACTTTCAAACGTACGCATTGAGAGCTATCAACTGCTTTTTATCGCGTCTTTCTAGCCCTCTTAGTTTTTGAGTTAGAGGTGGGTGGTACCATATGCCCCCCCCCCCTCCCACTAGGGCGAAGTTGGCTGAGACCGCCACTGCACTGGGGCGCGGGTTAACCCACGAGCCGCTGGGGGGGGGGGGCATAAAGTTGCCCCCCTTTACGTTTTGTGAAATATCTCCGAAACCTGATGAGCTACGAACGTGAAACTTGGCATAGCTTCAAATGAATACCTAGGCAATGTTTGAAGAAAGTTTAGTGGTAGTAGTACCTAAGATGACGTCACAGTGACGTCATAAAGTTTTGTCGTTTTCCGATATGGACCGTTTCTGATGACGCTGAGCATGAAACTCGACTGTAAATGAACTAGACAGCACCTGCTCTCATCCTAAAACATCTTACTACACTTCCATCTAGTTTCTGACCAATAATCGGCCCCTTATATTCGGTCCCATATATGTGCTGTATCGTGAGGAATATGAGAGTCGCAAATCTATAATTTCACTTATGACGTCACTGTGACGTCATTTCAAATGGGATCGACACCAAATTTGGACACAACCTCGGCTAGGTATTCAGGAAGATGTGTGCAAAGTTTCGCTTCTCTATCTCTTCGCGTTGCGACGATATCGTCGCAGAAGTAAAGGGGGGCAACTTTATGCCCCCCCCCCCCCCAGCGGCCGGCGGGTGGCGCGGAGGCCCAGCGGCCGCCGGGTTAATGACCAAAACAAGTGATCCAAGTTTCATTTTTTCCAAAATTGTGCCCAGTGCCCAATCCGAGGTCATGCTACTGGAACATGCTAAGAAAGTTGACGGGAAATGTCTAACACTTCCGAGTTTCCAAAAGTTATCATTACGTTGAAGGTTCAATATTTTCCTGCATTTTCACGCAATGCAGCTATTTCGTGGGTAAAACCCACACTATTGACAGACGGACACATACGCGCCACGCGCCGGCGTTATTTGCGCTGATCTTGACGTCACATTAGCGCCAATATCGCCAGCCGATCGTCAGTATGTACGGACTGGAATTGGACCGTATGTTCCGACCGGAATTGGTCCGTATGTACGGACCGGCCGGCCGACATGCCCCCCCCCCCCCCCCTCCCCTCCACGGCGTGTAAACAGTCAGGTGAGGGCGGGGGGGGGGGGCGGCGGCGACCAAACACCCGCGCCCTGATGAGCGGCCGCACATTTATGGCGCCCTCGTCACGGTCAAACACAATCGCGGCGCGACGCACTGCGGGGGGGGGGGGGGGGGCAGTGAGGGCGAGACTTATGATAGAGAGAGAGAGGGAGAGAGGGAGAGAGAGAGAAAAAGGAGGAGGAAGAGGAGGAATAGGAGGAGGAGGAGGAGAGGAGGAGATGAGGAGAGGAGGAGAGGAGGAGAGGAGGAGAGGAGAAGAGGAGGAGAGGAGGAGAGGAGGAGGAGAGAAGGAGAGGAGGAGATAGAGCTGAAAGAGGAGCAGAGAAGAGACAGTTGCCACATCACATCGTAACTTTGAGTGTTATTCATGGCAAAGACAAAACATTGTTGACATGCTTGAATTTCTAATTTTTTTTTTTAATGCATGTATATATTTGCACGGACATGACATAAAAACACACGCAAAAACACGTTGCTCATTCACTCACTCAGATGCTACCATACTACCCACCCGGCTCTACGTACCCCGACACTGCGTCCCGTTTCATTTCAGCCAGCAGCGATGCGTAGGTGGCCAGCCGATTGGGGCGCGGCGACCCTGGCGACACTCCGGAGCAGCTGGGCGCGATGCTCAGGAGCTGGTCGGTCAGCTCCTGAGTAGTTGCCACTCTCTCATCGACTGACCGGGGAGCGGCGCGTGGCTTCAGGTACTGCGCCAGCTCGGGGTCGTCCAGTGGGTTGCGGCTAGGCAACGCGCAGTGCAGCTCACCGACGCCCAGCGGCTCCTCCCGCAGCCCGTTGCGCCGGTTTTGCACTGTCCGTCCCCTCCACGTGCCAGCCTCTTGTTCCCGCCGCTTCTGCTGCACCTCATGTTCAGCCGTTTGCAGGATGCTTGCCGCGTTTCCTCTGACAACAGCCAGAGCCAGCCGCTGCCAAAGCCAGGCTGTCTCTCGACGGTCTTCCGTTACGGAGGCGATCCTTGCACCGAGCTCCCGAACAAACACCTTTGTGGAAGGACCACAAGCTCCAGATGTCTCGAAGGCCAGAGGTTCAAAGTGGAAGCGCTGCGTGAGATCATCGTACTTCTTGCGCTGCTTGACTTCAGCTTCGCGTGCAGCTGTTCCGGCTGAGGTAGCGGCTGCCAGCACATGGCTATCGGCGTATGTGTTGACGCACGTGGCATCCCAAGCTAGGCACATACCGTTTTTGATTCATACATTTTTCATATTCATACATTTTATTGATTCATACATTTTTTTCATTCATACACAATTTCTAATTGTGTATGAATGTTTTATTTTTTTGTATCATTCGACACATTTAAGGATACTCATGTGACATATTGGTGCTATTACAGTACCGCAAAAGGAGACACTGTGGTATTAAAGGTGAGACTTGAGAGCAAAAATAGCTAACCCCCCCCCCCCCCCCCCCTGGGGCGTAGCTTCGCAAAAGTCATGTCACAAGTTTCGTAAGTTCTCCGGCCCTGTTCCTCCCAAAGGTCACACAGTTTCCAATGGTGACGCCTGCTGTTTTAGGACGTTTCTATTCGGGGAGCTCGCCGTCGCTGCTGCCATTGCCAGTTCCGAATGTCATTGAGGTGGGCTGGGATGACGTCTCCGTCTGTCTCCTGTCTGATTCCGTCTGGCTGGGATGACGTCTCCGTCTGTCTCCTGTCTGACTCCGTCTGGCTGGGATGACGTCTCCGTCTGTCTCCTGTCTGACTCCGTCTGTCTGGGATGACGTCTCCGTCTGTCTCCTGTCTGACTCCGTCTGTCTGGGATGACGTCTCCGTCTGTCTCCTGTCTGACTCCGTCTGTCTGGGATGACGTCTCAGTCTGCCGGAGCATGTCGCCCAGTCTCTCTGGGGTCGCCTCCGGTCGGCCGAGTTTGAACTGAGGAGGGCGGATAGAGGCAGAGAGTGAAGCGGTGCAGGGGCGGGGAGAGAGGGAGAGAGAGAGAGAGAGAGAGAGAGAGAGAGGGAGAGAGAGAGAGGGGGAGAGAGAGGAGGGAGAGAGAGAGAGAGAGAGGGAGGGAGAGAGAGAGAGATCGTAGGGTTAAAGCTGGGGTTAAAGTTGGGTACACAAGAGGCGGAACGTTGTTTGTACTCGCTCCGTCGGCCTGATCCGCGAGGTAAAGCTCCAAAAACCAGGAACTACGGCTGAGTAACTAAAATAGCGAATCATAGGCCATAGCGAATCAAAAAAGTATGCTGCCTAATTTTTATGATTACGTGCGCACTGGTTTGACGGTCCCGTGTCAGGCCTTGATAAGCAGATCGTTACAGCTCGAATTGGTGACAGGTGCATTTGATTTCACTTCAGCCGAGTCATTTGATTAGCAGTGATTTGCCGGGTAATCGTCCAGTAGGAGCATGTCTGACACCTTTGATGTGAGTGCCGCGGGCACGGCACCTGTCGGTAAAACGTATACGTTCAGGAGGTCTGACAGTGACAGAATCCCGGCAAATCACTCGCCGGTCGCGTATCACTCGACACTCAGCTAGGTGGGCTCCGAAAAACAAGGCCGACAAGCCAAGGGTTGAGGGGGGTGGGGGATTCGGTAATCACGTAGAGGCAAGGAACTTAGTTGTCGCTGTTTGATTCTTTCACAAGTGTGATTATAGCACGAATATTTCGTCTGGTGTTTGAGCGTTTTTGACCTCCTGAAGTTGGACATCGGACCTCATCATTGCTGAAATAAACAATCGAGATTCACGATTGGCTACAGCCGTACAGCGGCTAGGTGATTTGCTGGCAAGATCGTGCGCGTCAATTTCTGATGACGTTATTTACCCCGGCTGCCTATTTAGGATATGACTTTCTAACTTCCGTTCAGAAAGCTCCTGCCATAGATTCAGATGACCGGATTTGTCGAAACCGTCGAGCTAAGCCGGTCTAAACCGTCCCGTCATCGACCATTAATACAGAGCGGCTGGGATAGCCGGAGGATCAGCTACCGTGACCTGGTGACCCTTCCGTTTCCCAGTTGTTGGCAGCTGAGCGGGCTGGTAGCTGATGACCCAGACTCGACAGAGGGCTATTGACACATGCATGTCAGCAGAGACACGGAGACTGTGAACCACTCCGCCGGTCAGAGGTCGTCAGTCACGGTCGAGCCCGCTGAACTTTGTGTAATTAAGAACTTTGAAGCCGCTCCCGGAAAAGGTACACTTGTGAATGGGCGCGGACAATGTGGACAGTCGTTCAGCAGGTGCGCCTCGGGTCATTGGAGCGCCGTCCTGACTATGAAGCGATGAAATGGCTGCAGTTGAATTCAATTTTAGAAGGAGGGGCAGATATTATAAGTGTAATTTTAATTGCAGTTGTTTACAGTTGTAAGCTATGTGCATTTTTTGTCAAAAAATCGAATTTTAAACACTTATGGGGAAATCAGATCATTCAGATGGCACACAGATCAGAGCAAGACTGTAATAAATAAAAACCAGGGTTGAAAGTGTGCTAATCGATGCCATAATTCGCAATTATAAAATCATACCGTACATCTACATGTTCAACGCGCCTAATCACAGACTGGCCACCACTCCCTCCCTCCCACGCACTTACCGGGTCCCACACCGGCCGAATCAAGCGCTCGCGCCAGCCGCACGTCTCCTTCGGCCGTGACCCAGAACAGGTCGGCGTCGTCTCCGCGCACGGAGAACTGCGGAACCTCTAGTTCGCCCGGCAGCACATAGGTGTCGCTGGTGGCGCGCAGTCGCACGACCGTGGTGTTGGCCGGTGATGATAGTGGTAGTGCTGTGTGCACCGTCAGCGGCGCAGCAGGGCCCACGTACGGAAACAGGGTCCGTCCAGACACTGGAACAGGGAAGAGTAGACGGGTCAGTGAACATGTCCCGTGTCGGTAGGTACGCAAGTACACAACCTGCTCAGTTAGTTCAGACACTGCAGCTGGACTGGAGCGGGGTAGGGCGGGTCACCCAATCTGTCCTGTGTTCAAGTGTTTACATTTAACACCTACGCAACCTGCTCAGTTAGTTCCGACTTTGGAACAGGGCAGCGGGGACGGTCACCAAAACTGCCCCGTGTCAGCATATGCAAATCCTGCTCAGCTGTTACGCCAAACCAACCATCGCCTAGTAAAAAAGGTTGATGCACTGCATCCACAACCCTTCCGCGGAGCTTGTTAAGACGAACGTCACTTGTCATGTGTCGCATCGAGCTGAAGTGATTCGTCCCAGCTAGCAGTGTATTCTTTCCGCATCTTTTACATAAAGGGAGATATGTTCGTCTGATTACGGAGCAATGAAGAAAGATGATTCATGAAATTAACCCGCGCGGGGCTGGGGTCTCCAGCCGAACGCGCGGGGCTGGGGGGGGGGGGGGGGGGGGTAAATTTTACCCCCCCCCCCTGTTATCTCCCGAACTAATGGTCCGATTTGGAAAATTCAAACGCCAATCGAAAGCTCTCATCACGAACTACTAAAAACATGTACTTAATTTCAAGTTTGAGGTCAAGGTCAAGGTCAGGTCAAGGGTACAAATTGCAAGTTTCTACAGTATCGGCCTTGCACCGTAGTTGCCGAAGAATGGAGTCATGGACTGAGACTGATCGCCCAAAACGTGTTCTTAGGCTACCAAGACAATATTCGTTGCATACAATATCATTCAGAGGCCAAGGTCAAGGTCAGGTCAGGTCAGGTCAGGTCACCAAAAAACAAAATATAGAAAAGGGCATGTGCGACACATGTTTTATGGGTCATTTTACTCATAGAATTCAATAGGCACACTCAATAAGTGATATGGACCACCTCTGGATGAATTTCAGGTCGAGGTCAGGTCAAGGTCAGGTCAAGTGAGGTCAAATTTTGAAGTTGGTTGTTAAGGCCTAAAAAGGTGTCTATCTGATGCAGTTTTTCACGGCGAATCGAATGGTGCTATTTTTGTTTCCGTACGAGGTCTAAAACTTCCAAAAAAGTCATTTTTCAAAAAATTTGTGTGTCGTGACGTCATAAAATTTTTAATAACTCCCACATTTTTGAACCGATTCTTCTGAAATTTGAAATGTAGGTGCACATAGACCACTTCTCTGACATATATTCCGGTTTTTTTCGATAGACTCAAAATTTTGGATTTTATAATGATTTTCCCAAAAAAGTCAGTTTTTTGAAAAAATTTAGGCCAAAATCCAAAATTTTCAAAAAACCGAGATGGCCATTTGATAGACAAAGTAAAATTACGTATAACCTTTTTTGTTACGTCTTGATTCCTTTAACAATGAAGATGTTAGCGGCGTTTGAACTTTTGCCGTTTTTGAGGCGAAAATGGCGAACATGACGTCACTAAAACGTCAATTTCTCAAAAAATTTTCCGACGGATTTCGCTCAAATTTTCAGGGAACGTGTCAAATTGATGTAAGAAAAGGTACTGAAAGTTTGGCGGCGCTGCGCGCCGCCGTTTTTGAGATATCGCAAAAATTCGCGAGGGGGGGGGTAAAATTTACCCCCCAGCCCCGCGCGGGTTAAGAAGCAGGCAGCTTCTCAACGATTTTACACCCGGCAGCCCATAGGTGTCTCTGTAACCTTGATCTGTGTGTGTCTGGATATCAGGCGGTAGGCAGGGCAGCGGATTAGTTGGAAAGGTGAATGCAGACCGCTGTATTACATAAAAATGGAAAAGTCCCCCCCCATAAAGTTTCAATGTGAAAATGCAACTAAAAATGCATAGGTATAGCCACTGTTTAGATGCCTAAACCGAGCAGAAATTTCACTCCCTGTGCCCGGCCTCAGAATCAGATTGTTTTATTTACTGAACGAGGCGCTCGGGGCAGCGATGCATCCTCAGTTGACTGCTACCATCCAGCCGGCCCGGCGGTGGATGTATTGTTTATATCGGGCCGCGCTGCAGCTCCCCGGCTTATTATTGCAGGCTGAGCGGCGGCTGGCGCTCATCAGTGGCGGCCGAACAGACTGCCGGGAAGGCGGAAATCTGTCGGCGTCGACCGTAGTCGTGAGAACCGAGCGTACACAGAGCGGACGGAGAATAACAGCGCGCCGCCGACAGAGGCGCGGCGCAGACAGGCCAGTGACGTCATATCATACCAGTGACGTCACCGGCCGGGCGGCCGGGCGCCTGCCGACGGTGGGTGGGAAGAGAACTGCTTAGATTTATTGTAAGTCGTCCGCTCCAGAAGTTTTGAGACTGCCCTCATAAAAGCCCTATTAACAGTGCTAGATTCTTGTCGCTTTCATATGTTCTTACCACAGTTGTCATAAACGTACTTGCATAATTTTGTTTTTCTACGTTGCAAGAGACGGCGGGCATCACCCTGAACACGGCATGTCGCACGCGGCTCGTCACAGCAGCCAGTACACACTACACAGCATGGTCAGGCTGTTCATGTGAGCACAACTTTGCGGGTCGCTAGGCAATACAATTTTGTGATTATTTTGATAAATACCCCAGAAACATTTAAAATTGACTCTTCAGTGACTTGAGACGAAAGCTGGATGTATTTTTACCGATCCATACACCAAGAGACAAAGTGTTCAGTGGAAGCACACTGACTCCCCCAGACCCAAGAAAGTCAGACAGAGCAGGTCCACTTGGAAGCTCATAATAATCCCGTATTTTGACAAAAAGGCATTATATTCATTAACTGGGTCCCGTGCACGGCCAGATGATTTACAAGGAATGTTCCCTGAAAGTTCTGAGGGAGTTGAGAAAGGGAATTCGCCGCAAGAGACCGGAACTCTTCAAATTTGGCCAGGGGCACCTGTACTAGGTCAACGTACCTACCCACAAGTCCATCATGGTGACGGGCTAACTAACACAGATGGGCATCAAAACTGTCCCTCAGCCTCCCCACAGTTCAGATCTGGCCATCTGTGGCTTCTGGATGTTCCCCAGACTGAGCAAGAAGTTCAGGGGACGCCGGTTGGAGGATGTGGAGGAGATGAATGAGGCTGTGACAGAGGCCATGGGCACCTTCACTTTGAATTACTAGCAGCGGGTCTTCAGGAAGTGACCGGAGCGCTACAACAAGTGTATTGAACTCGGGAGGTCTCATTTCGAGAGTCACTGAAGTTTCATGCTGTTTTGAAACAACGAACTGTCTCTACTCAACTGAAAAAGGCTCAAAACTTCTGGAGTGCACCTCGTACATAATCAATGTGGTACGGCTATTAGCGCAACTTTTTCCCTGTAAGGAACGCAACAACTCAAAGAATCAAGAGAAATACAAAAAGAAAAATGCAATGCAAACAGAAAAGAAATGCGCAGAGGTGATGATAATGAAGTGTGTGTCGTTCGGCACGACCACGCACAGACGCACGTACGTATTATGCATAAAATCAGGAGTGGAACAATGCGCCCGGTGGCGCTGAACCTTGGTCAATCATTGGGCGTCCACCGGCGCAGCGTTCCCTGTTGTTACACACGTGAAAGGGCTATTTTTTGCGGTAAAAACGGCTCGTCCGAGCGCACGGACAGGTGAAGACAGCAGGCACCGGTTAGAAGGCCTTTTTAACAGCGCCAGCCGCCAGTGGTGTCTATCTTTGCTCCCGTGCACTTTACAGAGTGCAAGGCTTACACATATCCATTACACTCGCTCGTCGCCAAAACGGCGTCCTGGATTTTATCAATGATCTCATGAAAGTGCGGCATGAGGCGAGAACACGCCGAGTACAGAAGTCAGGATACCAACTTTTTGGTACACTGAAAACAATTCAACCCGCGGATTGCGAGTTGGCCCGAGTATCGCGGGTATTTTGAAGAAATTACCCGCTCTGCGCGAGTTTTTGCTGCCGGGTAGGCTGACTACCCGGTTAGCTTCCCGCGTTTCGCAGAGCATCCCGTTATCATCGTAGCTTTCACCCGCTTCACGGGTGTCAACGCCCGCTATACTCGGGTAAAACAGCAACCCGTCATGCGCGGATACATGAAACCTCCTCTGGCGGGGTCAATCACTCGTCCGCAGCGGGTTGTGGCGGCAGGCGTTACTCGCGCCCACGGAGTAAGCGCATCACGCAGGTTTTGCATCGTGTAACTCGCTGCGCCAAGGTAGGTGACATGCTATACGCAGGTTGCCTTGATCACGCATGCTGATGACCACGTGGACTTTCTGGATTTTTCTGCGGAACCTGCAGCAGCCTGCATACGCCGGTCCAAGGCCATGCATGCGCCGGCCTGCTTCAGCCCTTCTCGTCTTGGCCGGCAGAATATTTCGCTGGAACGCTCAGCAGAATATTCTGCAGTCCGCGAATCTGGCGCATTGTGGTGAAGTTTGCAGACCGTTCTTAGCACATTTTATTGGTAAAAATAAGCCTGGATAAATAAATCTTTCCCGATGCAAATGAAATATTTGTCCAAACTATTCCTTAATATTTAAAACACTATAGGCGGATTCATGTCAATTGTCTAAGATAAGCCTTTTTACTTTCTGTATTGAGTCCGCCGTCAGTTCTTCACTTTAATCTGATATACACCGACATTTCAGTCGCTTTGCGTCAGGTCGCCTGTGGCGCAGTTGGTAGCGCATCGGTTTGCAATATCAAAGATTTCGGGTTCGAATCCCGGCGGGCTGGCGGCGTTTTCCTCCTTGAACGCCGCCACTGCCTACTTTACCCTCCAGCTGATTTGGGCACCCTACCAGCGGATATTTTTACTCGCATAAAGCGAGTTCCCAACCCACGCAGTGCAGGTAATACGCCATGTGCGGATTGTGTACCCGCTGCGAACGGGTAGGTTGCCTTCTGTGTGTGGGTTGAGTCCCCATCCTATGCGGGTTAGGTACACAATATACTCGGGTTGACAGCCTGCGATATGCGGGTAAACGCACCCGCTGGTAGAGTGTCAAATTAGGTGGTGGGTAGGTGTACCCGCCAGCAGCAGGTTTTACTCGCTGTACGCGGGTTGAATTGTTTTCAGTGTATACCCATACCGAGCCGATAACAACTTGGTATTTGGCATTTAAATCGCGATGCTTTTGGTATCTTTTTGGTGTCGTGGATGCTCACTTCTGCATTCGATGATGCGAATGCAATATTGGCAAAAATCGGTATCTCTATCCATTCCTGAAGTCGGTTCGGTTTTTGGTATTGTCCCATTGGTATTTGGCTAGCTATCGGTTTCCAAATTATCTGCAATTAACGTCACTAACGCCAAGCTGGGGCATCTGATTTCCACGCTCGGTGGGGGATGTTTGAATATTCCAGTCGTGCGACTCGGCTCCAGGGCCACACAAAAAGCAGAAAGAGGCTTTCAGAAGGTCGCCAGAATCATGAGGAAAGTAGGCACTTTATTCCAATTCAGGTCAGGTAAAGGGCCATGTCACCAGAAGTAATGCAAAATCAGGTTTTATATAAAAATATTTTTTTACAAATAGGCGCATAACCCATGAGTGGTTAAAGCGAAAGCGACACAAACAAATTCGTTTGATACCCTGCACACCTTGTAAAATCAGAAAAACGAATGAGAAAGAGAGAGAGAGAGTGAGAGAGAGAAGGAGAGAGAGAGAGAGAGAGAGAGAGAGAGAGAGAGAGAGAGAGAGAGAGAGAGAGAGAGAGAGAGAGAGAGAGAGAGAGAGAGAGAGAGAGAGAGAGAGAGAGAGAGAGAGAGAGAGAGTCAGATTGAATGAGCTGAGTGAGTCCTGCACGTGCGCGTGTGCAAATTGGGCCCCAGGCTTTAATTGACTTTTTCGCGGGCCACCTACTCACTGGTCCTCAAATGTGCATCAAATCTGAGTACAATCGGCCCAGTCGTTTTCGACATGATCTGCAATTGACCGCTGAACGGAGCACGTAAAATAGAACCCAAACTGTGACACGTGGAAATGTATTGCCCAGTGGGTGCCTACCTATACGCCATAAAGCCTTCCAAAAAGGAAATGGATCTACGGGCAGCTGTTTTTGGTGGGCTGAAACTCTAATGAAGTTATTCAATTTCCTCTCCCTCGCAGGGTGCAGGTAAAAAAAAAAAAAAAATAAGGACGTCACGCATACTCTAGCAAGTTGTTGAGGCAAAATATTATACAACTGCAGGATTCATGCATGTATATGAATTTTGTAGGCGGACGAAAATATGAATGTTTGAAATGTAAAGAAAACGCACAAGCATTTTAGGTGAGCCTCAGTGATAGAAAATTAAGTTGCCCACACACCTTACACGCTTTCGCAAATGGTTCATCGTTGTTAAAGTAGCTTATTTCGATTAAAATATTCAATTAAATGGAATTGGAAATGCTCGTAATTATTGTAAACAGTGAACCCTTGCATAAAGGCGCCTCCCTCCCGGCTGAGACTGGTCACTGGTCTGGCCAGCGCGGGCGGACGTGGTCGCGGATCTGACCGCGGCGGGTCGCTTACCCAGTCCGGCGGCCGCCAGCAGCGCCACGGCGCAGACTGAGAGATGGAGATCCATGTCGCCGGCAGCCGTCCGACAGGAGACAGATCGCCGGCAATCGGCGACTTAGGTCCGGTACCGGCGTGCCGCGGCTGACCCGGCCAACAGGTGACCTCCCCACCGACGCACCGAGACAGCGACCGTGCGCTTCGCCCAGGCGAGGTCACGAGCAACAGGACGAGCTCTCAAATCGTCCGGCGAAACTCGATGATATGCGTGCTGTTACAGCAATGTCTTGTAGAGTTGAGTCCCTCGGCCGGATTTTTTTTTGCTGTTAGGCGCTATGCAAAATTATGAAATAAAACGAAATAAGTTTAGCCAGCGACCAGTCACCTTAGCTATTGCTCAAGAAGATCCACAATGTAGTTATAATTAGGCACCCGTCCGTATTCTGCGAGAATCTTTTATAGACCTGCTAATCCGCTGTTCATAATCCCGACGATCGAAGGTGATTCGCCTTAAATCGACTTCCAGCTGTGCTAAAATGGGCTGTCGCGGTAATTCTCACGGGAAGTCAGACCGAATCGGCTGTCAGTTCCCGGAGTCACTCATAATTCAAGACCGGTCCTCAGTGGTTAATTGCACACTGGATATTTGTCCCGTGTCGAGAAATACTCGCCCGCAAACCTATGTGTCGCCACTCGCGACAGAGCCGCAGTTTTCGGTCGCCGTGCCGTCGAACTCGCGTTGGGATCCGCTGGTGCGAGCCCGTCTATCGGTCGTCACAACGCAGTCCCCCTGGTCCCTCGTGATCCGTCTCTTGGGTCTTACAGCTCCCACTGGACCGTGCGGAAGGCCGCTATCCGTGTGATCTGTGTGTGGTTCAGTCTCTCTCACTGGCGGCGCGTTCAGCGTTATTCCAGCGTGCCGGATCGGGTGCCCGAACGGTCCACCCGCTGTCAGTGACTCTCCACTGTCCGTCCACCTCCACAGTCCACCCGTCCACAGGCCACACTGCCCGGCTGTCCACCTTCCCCGTTCACTTCCACAGCGCCAGTCGGAGCGGCACTCTCCACCTCACGTATCGGTCAGCCCGGCACCGGTCCACAGTGGCTGTCCACCTTCCACAGCGGCTGCGCCGGTCCGCGGTGGCTATCCACCTTCCACAGCGGCGGTCCACAGTGGCTGTCCACCTTCCACAGCGGCGGTCCACCCCCCACTCGCCGCACGCTGTCAGAGGCCCGCCCGGTGCGGCAGCGCGGCCGACCGTGCCTGGCGGCGGACGGAGGCCGACTGTCGCCATTGATTCCGACCTTTCCATCCAGCGAGCCGACCTCTGCGTCCGACCGCCCGTCCCGACCTCTCCGGTCGGCTGACCGGTCAGCGGGGCCGATATCGTCCCCCGGGACGGTCCCTGGGGAGGCAGCTGCCGCCGGCCGCCGGCCCCTCATCTGGAGCGCGCTAATGACGACCGAAAGAGAAGTGTTCGGACGGGGAAAGGAGCCACACCGGCGGCGTGCCAGACGAAATCACGTGTGTGATGAGACATGAGTTGCAGAAACGGGACGCTGAAAAGACAAAAGCAGGCCCGAACGGCGAAACTCAACTATGAAATTATTTAAGCATGATACATCGACCAGAAGCAAAACAAAGCTGAGGTTGGGTGAAGAATGCAAGAAAGATTAAAAAAATCTAGAAAAAAGGTAAAAAATGTGAAATGAAAGTATGTACATTGAGCATTGTCACTTTTTCTCTGCGCAAATTATCAAGATATACAAACGACAAAGAAATTTGGAAAGCAGAGGTGATTTACGTTCCCTGGTATTGTTCCAGTTATCGAGTAATGGATATGTTAAGGCCGTATGAAAACTCAGTCCGTTTGCAAACGGCCTGGCCCGATTCAGGCCGTTTGCAAACGGCCTGGACAGCCCAGTCAGTATGCAAACGGACTGAAAAGTCAGGCCGTTTGAATACGGGCTGAAATTCCAGACTGTATGCAAACCGCCTGAAATTTCAGGCCGTTTGCAAACCGTCTAGGCCGTATGACAACTTTCCAGACACCAGGCCGTTTGCAAACGGTCTAGGCATTTTAAAAACAATCTGGTCTGCATAAAGTTACAGCTGGACAATGTTTAGTTTGTTGAAGCACGACCGTTTCATGACATTACATGGCACCATGAAATCCTGAGGTGCATTCGGCATCCGGAAAAATATTGTCACTCGGATATCCTCCGTCGGAAAATTATTGTTGAGCGCCTATCTTCAGCATGTCTTGTTATCGCGATACCGTTCGTCATCCCCGATGATTCTCGCTAGTTCCGGAAAATTATCCCTGATTTTCCCGATGACGAATTGAGGCCTGGTTAGGAAGAGATTAGCGGAACTGAGACCCGGCCCGTATAGCGCCCGGTCGACCCGGGCTCTTCCCCCGGACTTCAAAGTTTCGCCTTCCACCGCAATGGTCAGGTATTGCCGGCTTACGCCACCGGCCAGCCGCCGGCGGTCGACCGGGCGCGGTGAGGACTCTAGTGTGAACCAGTGGCGCGGGAACTTCTTCCAGACTGGAGGGGGGGGGGGGGCTGAACCATAATAGAGATCAATCTAGGGTACCCCCAAATCTAGTTTTCTCACCGGTTTTAGGCCACTTTTATTTTTCAGACCTTGGCCTTTTCAACAACAACAAAAAACGAAAATATTTGCAAAAAAGTTCGCTATTCCGTCTCAGCTGAGTGAACAAACTACCGTTTTGGCAGCCTGGAATAAAGGTTTTAACCCTCGCCCGCACATGGGGGGGTGGTTGCCACCCCCCCAGGCAGTCTTTCTGCTCTGCACTCAACATTTTTAAAGCTAGAAGGCTGATTTTTCGTATAGCTGCTTGTCTATCGTTTCTTGATGTCCACTGAAAATTTCAAGTTTCTGTGATTTTTGGTTTCGGAGATATGACCTTGTTTTTTAGGTCATGTCATGACCCAAATGGCCAATTCTCAACATCTTGCGTTTGCCATGGGCCTTGTGAGCTTTTGACACCCTGATTTCGGCCTTTTTTGCCAGTCTTACCTCCCACCTATCATGGAACATGTTGTTCGACGATGTACAGGGGTCAAGGTCAGGGTCAAGGTCAACCTAGGTCATCTAAGATAATTGTGTTTTAGGCAAGCTGAATTTACTTTTTGTGAAGTTTTTTGACTGCATTTTTGGTAAAAGCTTCTCAGATCATGATTTCATGTGATATGGACCCAAAAACAATCGGTGCACACATCAGTATACACACAGACACACACAGACATACAAACACATATAATTGACCTTGACCTCACCTAACTTGACCTGAAATGACCTCAGCAGCAAAATTCTGGTCGGATAGTGTGACAAAGAGGTTCTAGCTGGCTTGGCACCAGAAAACAGCATCGTCATCGGTATTTGATAAGCAGCGCACTTGATATCCAACGGTGACCCAAAACAGCAACATTTTTTAGTTTGACCTGACCTGGAAGGTCAATGACTGACCTGAGAAGGTAAAACTGGGTATCATTGGATTCGTCTCTTCCCAAAGAATCTTTTTGGTCTTTACTGCTAAGCTCTATCTCCAACAGGAACGAAATGGCGCGGGGGGTGGCAACCACCCCCCCCCCCATGTGCGTTCTAGGATGGGAAAATGGCATGTGCGGGCGAGGGTTAATCTGCAAAATGAGTTGCCGAGCCAGTGAAAGAGGTGGATTTTTCACTAACATGTTTTCTTCCTTTGTGACCCACAACCCCTAATTAGGGGAGGACAAGCCGCCCCAACGGTTCCTGACCTCATGGAAAGTTGTGGGGCACCGCCCCCACGGCCCCCAAGCTGTAGGAGCTAGCTTCCCCCACTGCCCCCTCCCCCGGTTCCCGCGCCTATGTATGAATCTATGAAATTATATTGGTAGATTTCCGATTTTGATTCCTCCAGCGGGGGTGGGGGGCTCAAATACATTACAAGCCCCCCCCCCCCTCCAGCCGAAAAGTTGGAGGGGCTCAGCCCCCGCTAGCCGCCCCCCCCCCCCCGGTTCCCGCGCCACTGATGTGAGCTCTGATGTCCATTGCGCGCTCTGGCGTTTTATGCCGCAAAATAATCGGTGAGTCTTGTAGTGATAGGTACGTTTCACCAGACCTCACCAGTAGTGGCTTCACCAGGCTGCATCAACTGGAGGCCGTATCACAGGCGGACCGTGAACTTGTATAATTAGTTAGTAATATTGTCGAAAAATGGCCGGGCCGAGCATCAGCACAGTAACAAAATGTTCGACTTATGTAGACGAGTCATTCGGCATGGAATGCGCAAGCATTCACATGGATGCAACCTGATCATCGACCAACCTGGATCCATTAAGTTCAATCTTCAGAGGCTGTTGTAGTTCGCCAGACCGTTTGAAAACTGACTAGGCCGTTTTCAAACTGTCCAGGCCGTTTCAAACTGCCTAGGCCGTTTTCATACGGCCTGATATTTCAGGCGGTTTGCAAACGGCCGGCTTTTTCAGGCCGTTTTCAAACGGCCTGACTGGGCCAGGCCGTTTGCAAACGGACTGGGTTTTCATACGGTCTGTAACAGATACATCAGAATACAAATACGGTGGTTACATCGAAAAGTTTGGTCCAAGGCCTTTGGCCGTGATCGGGTGTTTACATTCACCCTCGGCGAACCCATTGTTTTTCTACGGCAAGGATTGCCGAAAGGCTAGCCAAAACAAAGTTGATACGATCATCATACGTTCATTTCTAATTGACCTTAATTAAACCCGCGCCCCGTGGGGGGGGGGGGCGAAACGGTCCCCCCTGTCCCTTTCCGCCGATATCTCCTAAACGGCTGCAGATATCGCCACCAAACTTTCAGGATCCCTCCGGGCATCAATTTTACACATTGTGACAAAAAAAATCCACAGGCTATAATAGATTGGTCACAAATGACGCCAGAATGACGTCATGTTCTGCCATTTTCGACCGAAAAAAGACCGCGAGAAGAGCTGTCAGGCCTAAAGCTTTGAAGATACAGAAAAACGATCAGACATAGAAGGTGTAGAATGGACAGGGATACAAAACTGCTATCTCGGATTTTTGATTTTTTTTTAGTTTTGACCCCCTAAAATCAAAAAACATTTTTTTTTATATATTAGTCAAAAAAATCCAAAAACTTTTTTGAGTTTCGAACAAGGCGGAATATATGTCATAGTACCTACCGTCTTCTATCTACATACCAAATTTCAGATCGATACCTCGTTTTTTTTGCCAAGTTATAGCGAAAAAACTGTTCCAAAATGACGACGTCAAATTTTCAAACTCAATTTTTGGCAATTCTAGACCACGTAAAGCAAATCAAAGACCACCATTAGCCTCCCCGTGACAAGTTGCATCGAATCAATACCCATTTTATGCAAAAATATCAACTTTGAAATTTGACCTAATTTGACCTGAGCTTGACCTGACCTTCACCAAAACGTGACCTAAGCTGGCCCCAAAGGCTGCCTGACCCACATAATCGCATTTGTCATGTAAAATGGACCATAAAACATGTATCACACGACGCTTTCATATTGTGACCCCCCAGTGACCTGACCTCTGTGACCTGACCAGGGCTCAATCTTACCAAATGCCGCGAATGCGATTTCACGTCATTTGGTAGCATTCAGAACTATTCCACATTCACTTATTCATTCGTTCTGGCGACAGTATTATTATTCACGCTATCAAATCATTGGACAAGATTACCTGGAGGTAAATAAAAAGGGAATCTTTGATATCAGTGCCATAAACTCCAGCCAGTGCTGCCAAATCCTGTTCACGGCATTGGTAAGATTGGGCCCTGGTATCAGTGACCTCAGATAGCAAT